TATACTAGAGTGCGGCTTACCATATCGACTAGATGCAGAAAAGAAATTTGTCACTTGATAGCCAAATGAGGCATAGTAAGCATGTTCCATTATAGCCATCAATTGAATCGTATTATAGCCGAGCTCTTTGATTCGTGGGAGGACATTAGCCGTGAACTCATCATACTGGGCTACCCTGCCATCTATTGACGATATACCAACTGGATACATAGTACAAATGTGTTAATTGCCAGTTCATTTAACATCCTCGCCTCCTATACCCATTACTAAACTTGACATAGATAATACGTCTCAGCTTTCAATCATACCGTGTGCTTCATAGACCCGCAAACTCTCTGGTTTCTTTGGTTGCTTATGCTTCCATTGATACTTTTCCGGTGGATTCCAAAAGATGGCATCATAAGTAGGACTGACTGACAGGTCCTGTGTGACACGTTTGATCCATGCTGGCAAGCGATCTATGCGTTCGCCTTCAGGCGTAGTCATCGAAATCTGATAAACGTATAACGTCTAATTAGATATAAGGCCAAATTTGAACAAAGACAAGAATGAGATGCTAAACTTGCTTTTATTTTGGAACCATGAGGTATCGCTGGAGAGCCGTTGGGTAGTGCGGGCACAGTGACTTCCCACACACCAAAGGCATTTCTCGTCATTGGATGTTTCATTCTGTTCCAGCCGTCTAATGCAAAGATGGGAGATGTGACATAAGTAAATGGATAGACAAAAGCGAATTAACACATCCTAACAACATAATAGACGCTCGTGATTATAACGCTAATCTATTACGATTCGGCCAGAACGTACTGAATTCTCCGATCAAGCTTGCATCCTTTACATTAGGAGCCCACTCGCGATATACAACATCTCCATTTGGTTGTACATTTAGTCCATAAATTTCGAATCCCCGAGTAAACTTGTCATATCCGTTTTCATGTTCTTCAATAGCTTTTACCCACTTTTGATATTGTGCGTATCTGCAATTGAAAAAATCGAGGCATTGAAAATATTAGACGTGAAGTTGGATAGCTGTTGAATGTAGCCATTAAATTTTATTTGTGTTGAGATTGTATTTAAAACAAGAATAAGAATAACAATAAACAACATCTATAATTCTATTTTCGAAAATTTATCTCGATCTATGCTACATTGTTACACTACCCGAATTACCTCTGCCTTAAGTCCTCCGCAAAGGGTTCCAGCCATGGATCGATTGTTATGAGTCCAGTTCCATCTGTGGGGAAAGGTTTTTCTGTTTGTTTATTCGAAGCTCCTTCGCGGAATGCTGCTGTTGTTGTTTCCGTGGGTGACATCTCTATCGATGGATTCGAATTAAACAATCGCGTAGCCGAGAATTCACAGAGGATGAAAAAGAAAGAGACGATGATAGAGTTCTCCCATAATTCCTATTTAAATGTTCTGGATCTATGGCACACGTTGTGGCGACAATAACTCGGGTAATATGTTAAGCATGCGAAGTGATGGAACTCAATTGGCTGGCTGTTACACTACTTCCCGTACATGGTCTAAAACGTCATAGTTCGACCACCTGAGCATTGAGTAGCGAATACTGTGATTTTCACATTCATTTTGGGGGGAAATATACTTAGCAGAGAAATCAGCAGATTGACATGGAATGCCTTTTAAATACTGCATAGAATATTAAATAAAACGTTGAAATTGATAGCAACTGACTTATCCCGGTAGGAACCCAGTCGTTTTCAAAATATAAATGGTTCTGTGTCGATAAGTGATTCGATCACCTCCAGCTATGGGTAGATGGTTTAAAAGCACCTAACTGAAACAGTAATTTGCGCCATTAAATAGAGAAACAAGGTTTTCGCTGATGCGCCCGTGGGCTCAATTGAAGCATGGCAACAAAGTCAGGCAACGTGAACATAGTGTCTCTGCCAACTATGCCATCAGCGGTTATGAACTAATTGATACTAGTAAAAAGTCAATGGTCACAATATCATCAAGCCGATAGTTAGTCAATTATTATTATACTTTTTCTGAATAGAGTTTAAAACTTTTTTTTTTTCAAAATCGGTTTCTGCCTGCGTTAAAATGCCATTCATATTTAGGTGGCTATTACGTAGCAGATATTAAAGAACTTGTGCTCTTTCTCTTTGGTAAAACTGCTTGTCAAACACAAGCACATTATCGTGTCCGCATATGAAGTCAAAATATGTTAAGGCGGCCTATATTTTATTTCATTCTGGCTAATCCAATTTTTGACGCAGTGAATTACAAAAGCTAAAGACCACGCCTACAAATGCCATGTTTTCTGTAGAAGCCCAATAATTTCTAGAAGAAGACAGTTTTTTTAAACGACAATAATGCTAGATGCACGATCTCTTCTCCTTTATTTCAACACATAATTTTGCCCTTGATACCTCTCCCATTTCAGAAAATGTATTCCTCTTATTTACTTGACGCTAAAACTGCTCACATATAACTTAGAAACCAAAGCCTTGCCCTATCAGACAGGTTCCGCGACGGAAATGATTGCTTGAAGTATTAGATTCAAAGAATTCACCATTTGCATGTCTTCTTAACAGAAAGAATGATTGCTCGTTAGTATTAGGCTCAGCCAATAGTAATAGGAGGCTATAAACCTTAATTCGATTGGTTGGTAGGATATTCATACTTAGTATGCAAAAACAACGTCGGCTCCTGAAGCAAGAAACTATATAACAATGAAGGAAACACAAAAGGATAAGGGAGCGTTCCTCCCCACAAGCATCAAACCGGATACAGTGGACATCCCTCCCTGGTATAATAAAATGCCTCCGTTAGCAGATCTTCAGAAACGGGAATCCAGTTATACTGAACTCGTACCGCTATTGCGTTTACAACAATTCACAGATTTTCGTTATTTTACGGACAAGGAATAAAAAACTCTGTTTTCACAGTCGGATTGTCTGAACTCGCGCAAGGTGTTGAAAGGTTCAAGAAAAAAAAGTCCTACATCGGGACACGAACATTTGTCACAACACGCGAACGAGAAAAGTTGGACTATTAAGGATCAGCTCGTCTAACGTGAATTTGAACATTAAATGCCACTTGTTTGTAGCACCATTATAATGCCTCGCTGTATACCCAAATCGTTCCGCTTTAATGCCAAGAAGGTCTTTCTCACTACACCCGATGTTGAAAATGTATCATGTTTAGATGCAACTTTTTTCTCTCCATGACCCAATAGTATCCCAAAAAAAAATTAGCGCTGGTTGGCACGAGAGGAACAGCCGGAAGATGCTAAGGAGGAGTTGAAGGAGGCTAGGGAGACAGAACGTGAGGAGAAAAACTGTATATGATGATCTCTCAGACAGGTAAGATCAAGTTTGGGACATACCGTACATAATAGATTAGATTATGGTGGATATAGGGTAGAGTAATATGAGTTTGTTTGTATTGATAATAGGATATCCCATGGGACTTGCTGATTAAACGTCTTTCCAACTCGTTCAAAACTAATATCTGTAGGAGTATTTCAAAATTAGGAAAAAATGCCTTTCACCAGAATTCTTTATGAGGAAGCAAAAAAAAAACCCCGGTGGTCCCCCAAAAAGACTGCAACCTGGCGGTCCCCCAAAAAAAGACGATTTGCGGGGTTTATCGGCATCCAGTCGGGTCTGTGCTAATAATTAGTGTTACTAGGTTAGCTTTTGCCTCGGATGCTATGGAAGATTAGAATCTAAACCCATTGTGTATACACTGCTTCTTTTTTATCTCTTATAATTAGCTCGTTTTGTTGTATTCTCATCCATTCTTCCAATGCACTTTGCTATTTAAGATAACGTTTACCACTTTAACTAATTCATACTTGTATTTATAATGCAGATGTGAGATTCGTGGCTGATCACATAAACTCCAACCAGAAGATTATCAACGAAGGAATCAGTTGGTCAATATCCGAAAAAAGAACGACCAATACCTCCTTCCTCGGGACTGAGAAGCGGATGATTTGTTTTCTTTATTGTTTTTATCTGCGGAGTGGCAGCAGAATCAACAATGTTTGAATGAAAAAAAAAAGGTCAAAAAAGCGGATACGAGATTGGTGTTCATAATTCCATATCAAAGTCTGTACCAAAATTTATATTTATCTTAAAATAAACCATTTTATATCAACTATACGATCACATTATTAAGTCGCAGGTATAGCGATTTTATCACATCTGTCAGTTCAATCGCGCTGTGTTGATCTTTGACGTCAACTTTGTACCTGTACATTGTCGCATCACTGGAGTATACAGTGTTGTTACCTATAGTGCTAGTTTTGACTCAGCAACTGCATAATTGGGAAAGGGTAAGATCCTGCGCATTGTTTGATTCAGATTCGTATACAATGAGTTACGCACCAACCCACCATCACTATTCAATTTACATCCTAATTCGACAAGCTTTCCGCCTGCTTTCTTTTAGACGTACCACGTATTCGTTACTTGTACGATTGATGATGTTGGAGTTTTGAGGACTTGGATGCCAGTCCTATTGTCATTGACCCTTCATCTTTGTTACGACAGAACGTAGGTATACTATTGGATCGGAACTCACAGTTGGACTTTCTCTTGAACAGTTACACAACGCTGTATTTATGACGTCGACAGGATGTATGTTATTTCAGCCATACCCAGCCGTAATATAAACGTAATTGTATTGTCTATTGCTCGCAGTACTGCAGTATATCCCCAAACCAGCCACCAGATATGATCTTGAGAAACAATCGTTACAATGTTAATATATTGTAAATGCCAAGCATCCGATTCAAAAGAGCAAATCATGGATTGGTAAATCGTATCACATACGCACTACTAAACTCATTATGCTCTACATTTTCTGCAAATTCTAAATGGGAACAAACAATACGTGGCGTTTGTCACGGGTCCATGACATCATTATCTCTGTGTTCCGAAAATCAGGTAACTATATGTATCAATTTCCATATAAATGCCTTGTGCGGTATCTCACGCAGTTCGCACGATCGTATTATCAACACAATGTCTACCTCAGAGTGGAAGCCGCCAGGCAAAGGAGACCTCAGGTCGCCCTGCCCAGCACTCAACATACTAGCAAATCATGGTTATTTGTAAGCATACAAGTTGACGACGGCATGACCTGAAATACTACTACATATTAACGCTTTTCATACTTTTGCACAGACCACACGACGGGAAGAATTTGACAGCTGCACAAATAACAGATGCACTTAACAAACATCTGAACGTGTCCCGTGGATTTGCCAATTTTATGGCGAGGGCAGCTGTCTATCTAGTTGGTAGCAAAGGAGTATGGTAAGAAAATTCAATCAGTTGATTAATGGGAAAAGGGCGTATATGATTATTTCGGTGTTGATGTTTTTGTAACATCTTCATTTTCGCCTCCTTTCCTTAATTACCTTTTTTTTTATGACTGGTCTCGTTGCACTAATGTTACCGTTCATTACATATCTCCCATACATTGGTAACCAGCTCTCTCGAAGATCTCGGCAAGCATAATGTAATCGAACACGATGCGTCTCTAACACGACAAGATGCGTTCCTAGGCGACAATATTCATGTCGATCCATCTCTAGTTGATAGTCTTCTTTCCCATGCTGTGGATGGCCGTATCACCATCGATACTCTCGCCAAATTCCGTAACCTGCGGTACGAAGACTCAAAAGAACGAGACAAAGAATTTTGCTTTGGCACGAAACAATATAAAACTGCTTTTGGTGAATCTGCCCTGCTTTTGAGTGTACTGGGACAGGCGACTAACCAAGAGATTGACGTCGAGACTGCAAGAACACTTTTGAAGGAGGAGCGGTTACCCGATGGCTGGCAAAAGGGAAGTAAGCCGGTGACCTTTTGTGATGTTTGGAGCATGCAGAGCAAGATTGAAAATAGGTCAAAGGAGATGAAAAATGAAAAGAAATGATTCATGGAATGCCGGGGGAGGGAAGAGGGGGAGACGTGTTTTGAATAATATTTATCGATTTACGACCTAATTGATATTTAATATATTATAATAAGTTGTTTGTATAATAAAACGCCTGTTACATTCCCATTTGATAAAATGGACTAGCGCTCTAGTATCTTTATCTTGTATTATGTCTTATTATTATTAATGATGAATGGGTTTTGGGCAATTGCGACACTGGACAGTTAATTTTCGATGGCAAGGCGGCTTGTTACAGTCAAAGTAAAGCGAATACGTGCTTGGCATCATTACTCATATATTACGTGTTGAATGTATTATTCTCTGTTTGGTAACTATAGCCCTCATAATTCCGCCACACATCATAACCAAACATGGAATTTCGTTGCCTGAAAAGAATGACTATGCTAAAATTAGAAAAATAGTTTTCTATAAATAGAATACACTGATGTTGACGGCGATTCCCAAAGCGCTCTTCCACAAGGACTTGTACGCTCATGAATTCTCGGAGCTGAATCTCATGTTACCCTCATATAAAGTGTACTAATTAGACGTTTACTCAAATGTTTATTCAAACTATGCATGTATATGAATGTATATATTGATATAAATGCCAATCGCCAAATACACATTACCACATTCATTAGAACAATATAATCTAAGAAAATGAAAACTATTTCTATTGAATAGTGTATGCCTTTGTATGAATGACTAAAAAAATATAACAAAGTATGTGAAAGTAATGTTTTGCAAATACGTGTATAGCATGATTTTCTTTATTGTTTGTTAGCGTATGCCGCATTATGAACAGTTTGGGCACGACCAGAAGGATCCTCAGGACAACCTGTTTTAAAGGACAGCAAATGGCGATTGATTGGTATAAACACACTTACACAAGACAAATACGAATGTCCTTTATGCAACTATGTAGATATAATAATACATACCCCAATCGGATCTCGGAATCCACCTGACAACACTCTCGACGCAAGCATCTTCTGGGAACGAATCCTCAAACATTTCACGATACCAATAAGCTTCCTTTGTTGTTGGCGTATCCTTGGACCATCGTTTAGCAGCAGTGGCTAGCTGTTCATCGGTCACATGCTTTTCTGCCGTGGCTTTAAGAGTATCGATCCAACTATAACCTACTCCATCGGAAAATTGTTCCTTTTGGCGCCAGAGAATCGAGTCTGGGAGGTATGGCCGATCGTCATCAGTGGTGGAGACGTCGAAGGCTTTCCTCAATATGTACTAGACAAAAAGAAATTTTACTGTAAGTATGTATCCAACTATTAAAAAACTACTTCAATTTCTGGTCACAACAAAATACACACCTTTTCCATTCTCCCAGGTTTAAACATTTTTTCCTCAGGATTAACATTCATAGCAACATTAAGAAAGGCCGCATCCAAAAACGGTACTCTTGCCTCCAATCCCCATGCCATCGTACTCTTGTTGGCTCTTAAACAATCTGACGTATGCAGATTCTTCACCCTAGTAACAGTCTCTTCATGGAAATCAGTGGCAGAGGGAGCGGCGTGAAAATAGAGATATCCTCCAAAGATCTCGTCACTGCCTTCTCCGCTAAGTACCATTTTAACACCCATAGCTTTGATCTTTCGTGATAACAAGTACATTGGTGTGCTAGCACGGACGGTCGTCACATCATAAGTTTCGAGATGATAAATGACGTCGTGCAGTGCATCGAGGCCCTCTTGAATGGTAAAGGTAAATTCGTGATGCACCGTTTGCAGAAAATCTGCAACTTTGCGGGCAGCGGCCAAGTCTGGTGAGTGTGGAAGGCCAATTGAGAATGAATGGAGTTTTGGCCATGACTTTAACGCACCTGTATGTGTGAAGCCAATGTTAAGTTATAGTTATGCACTCACAAATATCATGGACAAATCATTGGCAGTTAGTAAAACAACTCACTCTCATCGACATCGTCTCCCGCAAAGCCATTCTGACTTGCAGCCAATTTGATTGCCTCCCGTTGAGCTATCGATGCAATCAAACTAGAATCCAAGCCACCACTCAACAAGACCCCGTATGGTACTTCACTCATCAAACGCTTACGCACGGCCTTTTCCAACGTTTCCCTCAACAGCTTATAATCAACTGGAGATGTGGGTACAACGCTGGAATCCCACCAAGGAGGACGATAATACCGAGTCGTCTCTTTCGTTGATGAATCATAAAAATGTCCAGGTGGAAACGATATGATTTTATCGCATTCGTCCTGTAATGCTTTCATCTCGGAGGCGAAATACACGGTATCTGGTGAATAAGATGACCATCCTTGGTAGAGAGGGGTGATACCGATTGGATCACGTGCCGCCAATATTTTGTTATTGCGAACGTCGAGAAGGACAAAGGAGAACATGCCGTCGAGATAGTCAACGACTGCGTTGCCCGTTTTCGCGTACTAGGGAAAATGATAGAAATTCATTATTATGCAAACCGTATTTGTAGTGAGCCGAACGATCGGTATTTCTAAACATTCTATTCATACCACATGAAGTATACATTCGCAATCAGACTGGGTGCTGAAAACGGCATCTGGTACTAGTTTCTCCAATCCCTTGTGATTATATATTTCTCCATTGACCGCAAGGACAATCGATTCGTCTTCATTCGTGATGGGCTGTGCGCCACTTCCTGTCAAACGCAGTTTATGTTAGTGATTCGCGTGACACAAATTATAACTGGTTACTGCATTTCTGACTCACCGACACCAACGATAGCTAATCGCTCGTGAGCAAGAATGTTATTGCCTTTGATAATACAGCCACTCCAATCAGGGCCACGATGTCTTAATCTTTACAAAGAGGAGAAAGAAAAAAAAAAGTGTCAGGTTCAGCGTAGTGCATCCAGCATTTGGGGTGATCGGGGATGTATATAGGGAGAGTGATTTAGAGATAGTTACTTTTTGGAACACATAAGTGCCCTCTTACGGTATACATTGATATCGCCCTGATAGTTGTAGACAGCGAAGATTCCACACATGGTAACTGTTGAGGCAGATGATAGCACTGTCAATGAATTGTTAGTAGAGATGTTAATACTTGAGGGTGTGTGCTTTGACGTATCTAATAAATACATACAGAGGTTTCTATGTTGTTGGCAAATTTAAATGTATTGCAGTTTTTCAGAAGAAAAGTTATGGCTGAAGTGAGATTACTGATAAGCATCTTATATCATTTTATATCACGGTTTATGGGGCGTTTTTTTCACGTTGGACCTGCTTTTCTAAAATGACCAATACTTTGATAACGATTTCGCTTATCTGTGTAACCATGATTTATCAATAAGGTTAGTTATTAGTTATTCATTGACATAATTATACAATTATTCAATTAACTACCGTTGAAAGTTTTGATTCCTTTTTTGTGATATCTCTGCGTAACAATCGTGCCTTAATAATCGTAACAATCAGTGTTCCTGTTGAAAGGTCTTTGCCGTTACTATTATTCCGTTGATTCAGATTGCTCATCCGATTAGATAATAACTTCTTTATTTGGCAGGGTCATTTAGTGGCATGCTCTTGCGTTACTGGCATGGCGGGGGTAACTGCGTTTACTTTTAACTTCCGAGATAAAACAATTAGATATTGCACAATTCGGGGGGTTCTTGACTCTGAACAATGTAACTCAAGTTGTGTTGCACGGCATGCCCCACATTCTAAGCTTGTGAGAGAAGCGTAATTCTGGTTCTAATTACGTCAAGTACGCCTAAACAATTCAAACAATTGACTACAATGGTTGTAAATGAAACGATAATTCCGCCATCGTCGGCTATTACCAAAGAATTTGTCGCACAGATTATCGGGTTTCCATTGTGTCATGGTATATATCTCTTAAATCTTGTGGATCAACAAACACAGAATATTGATGTGGGGTTTCGCATTCGTTCACACGCAGCTGTATAATTCCTCCGAGCATCATTTATGCAAGATAATCCATAATCGTATCCCCCCCTCGTTGTACGAGTCCCCTTATCTCTTATCAAAGATTGTCTTAAAGTTTGTTGGATGCGGGTCCGATTTAACCCAATTAACCTTCTTTCTAAAGGTATGGACCCTGTCACAGCAGAACGTTTAAGAAGACGGAAGAATTGCTTTTTCTGTCACCATATTTAGTGCATTTCACACGGTGATTAGATCGTCTTGGCATTGCCTTATAGTATACTAGTCTGATCCTAGGGAAAGGTACATACACATCAGACGCCTAGTTACTGGTATGTTATATGTCAATTTATGAACCAAATGTAAGTAATGTCCAAGACCAAACCAAGTTTTGGTCTGTCCAACTAATATGTATTTGACGTTCATTACCCACTATTACTGTAAAATATTTACTGCACCAATACCAAGTCTTTAAGTATAAAATTGGGTCTGTGACATAATACTTTGCATATTGTAAATTGCTTTTTCTATGACATTGTTCTCTTGCTCTGCTATTGGACTTGTAGATGTTACAAAATAAGTTCATTTTTGCTAGTACATATCTCACCTTATAACATAGAGCATTTTTGAATTGTTTTTCATAATTTCATTAAATTACGCAAACTGACAATGGGGATAAATTTTTATTGTAAAATTTACGTCAATTCATATTCGGAGATATCTCACAATAGTAGAATTCAAAGCCACAATTATATGGTATTCATGGTTTTGTTATCAATTTGTTAATTGATTTTGGGAAACAGCTATATACATATATGTATGCATCGCATTACCTTTTCTTATTTACCTGCTTACGAGATGAATCGTATTATTTTGGTCACGATTGCATCACCAGACCAGATAATTCGCTAATTATAATACGAACAGATAGTTAAACAGACTCGTTTACGAGGCGTGGGTGAAAGCGATTAACATCGTTCCTTCTAATTAATATACTCTGGAATACTATTAGTTATTACTTTACGCGTCACGGAAATGTTTATTCTTTACGGATACTAGGACTAGCGCTGTGAATGCCATAGTGTTGTACTGATAGAAAAATAGTATACTCGTTAAGTTTTATAATACATACAAGATTCGCCTTTATGTAACGTCTCGATGGACGCTGACGGTTTACTGTTAGGTTTGAAAGTATTTCCCAGTCAAACTTGGTTCATCCAGCGAGCGCAACCGTTCGTAGAAATATATTGTTATATTATCATTTACTTTTCTGCGATTTTTGCAGCGGAAACTTTTACATCATTACACTTATCGGGTCTCCAGCTAGTTAATGCTACTTCGTTATGTTGGTTAAAGCATTGATTTCAATTTGTGTTGTCATTACATCGGTTTGGCGAGGAGTTGTTAATTTTTTAACGTAATATTGATATGATAATTGCATCAACGTTTTAATTGTCAAATTGCAATATGCGGAATATATGAATACAATTTGCAACCGTGAAAAAGCTGGAACTCTAGTGAAATATCCTATTAACAAGTATACACGTACTCACTAGTAATGTTAATGTATCTTAATGAAACGATAATTAATGCTTGAAAATTGAATGTAATAAACGTATAACTTACATTGAGCAACAATAATAAGCATTTCAGTCAAAAAAGATTTTAACATGAACGGACCGTTTAGCAAGCATAGCGAACATTTGGTATAAAATTGCGGGCATAACCACTTATATCGAGCTTATTAAGTTTGAAAAACTGTTACCCGATTGTTTTCTTCTGTCAATTTAATATGGTTTACTTCAAAGGAAATTTCCGTATCCATCAACCCGGGAATTACCGTGATAATAATAACTTAATATTAATATCATGTGATACCGGAAAAACTTTTTTTAAAAAAAGAAAATATCATATAATAATCATGCAAACAAACCTTTAATATTGCGCTGCGAAACCTAAGGCTACCCCTAACAATTACATCTTGCAATTTACGCGGTAGCGTCATCCATTTTTAACATATATTATTATTATATAGGAGACCGAAGAACAAAAAGTTCTGGCACCTATACATACGGAAGTTGCAGTTGGTTCGTATATACAGATTTATCACAAAGTTTTTAATCATCTTCAATGACTTTTTTTTTCTAGTAGCCGATCAGTGTCCGAGTCGATTTATTGGACGCTTCGTCTAGGGGTGAGATACTATCTGTCAAACTAACTTGCAGAGTATTACGTTATTATGTAATAATTATATTGCTCGTTACTTACTGACGACAACATCAACGTCATAATCAGTTATTCGGAATCGGATGAAGGCGAAGAGTCGATGTTCGGCCGTTTTTCCTCTTTTGTTTATTCTTTCTTTTCTTTTTGTCTTAGTTTCGTAGTTTTAGTTTTCGAATTTATAAAACGTACTTGCGCGGTTTGTCTAGACTTTGATACGACTGTTGTAGGAATGTACATGTTCATTAGAAAAACATACATCTTCTAGAGGTAAACACAATGTTGGGAGTTTTAACAGGATATCAGTTTTAAAACACATTATTACATGGCTAAATATCCTTTTAAAGAAAATGACCCAAAAACCATGGAGTGAATTTTAAATACTTTTTGGGTGTTAGTTAAAGGAGAGATATGCTAAAAATTATTAAGCTGGAAGAGAACTATTGGGTAGGTCCTAACTAATCTATTAGATTTGGTTAGTAAAACTTGTTTGAAAAGTATCTTATTAAATTGTATCAATAAAACTACTTATGAGTTTCAAGTTTTTCATTTTTTTTTTCTTCCTACGTCTGGTACTAATAATGACAAGGTAAGTGTTAATAATAATAATAATAACGTCAAGAACCAATATAAAGAACGTTTACTGCAGGTTCTACATCAGGGGTTGAGTACTTGACTGGTACTTTCTCCATGATGCGCTTTAATTCAAATTGTTCAACGTAATCCTATACATTGAGTCGAAAATAAAACTATGATATAAGCGCATTTTTGTTGAAAAAACATTTTTCTACTATCCTGATACGATATTTAGTTTTGACAAGACAATTTTTTTTAACGACACGCCTGCCACCCTTACGTTAAAGAGTTGGTAATGCTATCAAAGCTTGTAGTTGAGCGCATACGTTTTATCATAACAATAATAATTATTGTGATATACGTAACAGCCCAAGCAAGGACAATAAGAACGCTTTTGCGGATCATTCGTATAATTATGCTCACATAATTATTACTTTTGTTGAAAAGAGAATCAAATGTTGTAATTTAGAAATTGAGACTATTAACATAGTATCTTAAACGGTAATTATGTTTATGTGTGTGCATTTCTACGATAGCAATGAAAGAAACGTCTGCATGCGATTGAAACCGTATTAGTATACCTATTAAATATTAATATTAATCATTGTTAAATAATCCAGACGCAAAAACAAAAATATGGTATCAACAAGTCAATTCATGGTGCTAAATAGAAACGACTGGCAAGCGTCTCCACTGCAACAAAAATAAAATTATATATTATTTGACAAATAAAACTTGTCATACTTTGATTCCTTGTTTGCCGCGGTAATTAGTTTGTCCATTATTTTTGAATTTCAAAATAATTCGATATTAATATCTAAACTCAATTTGTGGAAAAGTTTTCCCACTTTTACTTCTTCATTTTCTGCGTAAAGCCCAGCAGAAGTAATAACAATTCAAGTTATAACCAAGCAAGCCGATAATTTTCTCCTTCTTTTGCCCTGTCAAAGGTTGCATTAGAGAAAAGAAAATTGAACATTAAATATTTCTATTAGACGTATTTAATTAAAATGTTACCAGTCAATGTCGTCAACCATATTAATATGATGAAGGAGGATAGGAAACCCTTTATTAACTTTTTACGTTTGAATTACGCGCGAATAATTTTTTTAATACGTTGTAGTTGCAACAAGGATCTTGCTTGCAAGCCCGCGTCAATTAAGCCGCTTCTGGATTTAATAATACAGTAATAGCAATAATACTCTACAAACATATTCCGTGTAACATCCCAATTTGGTGTGATCAGAAATTTTTAACGAGAGTTCTGTCGGTTTATGCTGATCTAATGGGAATATATTGTAATCGCAAGCAAATATTTGCATTCTGGGATAAATTCAGTAGAATACACTGTATTGATACAATTAACATCCGGTGCAAAGTAAATTATGTGAGAACACGTACATATTCAAGTTCCATTGCTAAAGACCGATATCGGGTCCTATTCTTTGGGTCTGATAATTTCTCACTCGCATCGTTGCGAGCATTGGTGAACGAACAAAGTATGGTTAAACAGAAATATACGATAACAAGAGACATCTGATGTTCGGCTGAATTAATAACTTGCGTTTTGTAGAAAGTACTTCATCAGTTATCGATAATATTGAAGTAGTATCTTCACCCGATCAAAGGACTGGAAGGAATATGAAACATGTTAGAAAAAGTAAGCAAATTTAACCTCGTCGTATTTTGATCCTGTAACGCGACGTCAATTAATCGACAGTTACTACATATGTCTCCGAAACCTATTTTTATATGCCACAGCCCTAGTAAAGCAGTTTGCGGAAGAATTTGGGTTGATTGTACACGACGCTCCTCAAAAGTCTCTTGATGATTGGAAGGTGCGCTCTTGGGATTCTTCATGGATTGGTTTAGTATTCTTTAGCCATAACTTAATAACCCTCACATAGCCCCCATCCTTGTTCGATCTTGGAATAGTTGTGTCATTTGGATACTTTATCCCGGCAAATGTATTGAAGACGTTTAGCAGAGGAGCCATAAATGTTCATCCTTCTCTTCTGCCAATGTAACTTTGATGGGGGGGGTTTACATCATTTACAGTGTATCATTCTTTGCGCAACGTCTAACGGGTCTGATATAATTCAATCAGGTACAGGGGTGCGTCGCCAATACAATATTCCATACTAAACGGAGACGTTGAGACTGGGATTACTATTCAGGAACTGCATCATGAAGTGTTTGATGCAGGCCGAATATTGAGACAGATAAAAATGGTTTGCATGATATTTATTCAGCTTGGGGTAATCTGGTTATGATCTGATATAATGGCACAATTTGCAAGCCCATTCCACCCAGGTCAACCTATAAATCGCTTGAATCGATACTTGCCGAACAAGGAGCAGAGCTGTTAATAGATACAATAAAAGATTTGGACGTGATTCGTGTACGTATAGAGTACGGATACCTTCTGACACAAATATAGTGCATCTCACTCATTATGTTAATTTGCATTGTATGTTACAGTCCAAAGTAAGAGAACAAGATTCTGAAAAAGTCACTTATGCTCGTAAGATTCAGAAAGAAATGTCTTATATCAACTGGTCCGATCAGACAGCCGAAGAGATTGAGAGATTACATCGAGCAATATCACATCAGGTACGATGAAACTGGTGTGATCATCTGGCAGTGTACTAATCTACCCTACTCTTCAGTCGTTAACCCTTTCTCTCCGTTTTTCGAAATCCTAGTATGCGCTCCGTACAACATTTCTTGATAGACAAATCCAACTTACTTCTGTCACTCTCCCACCTTCCGATTCTCACCCGTTAACAACACAATCACCCTTATTTCCGGGTACATTGTTTTATGATAAAAACTCCAAAATTCTTCTCATTGCTTGCAAGGATAACTCGTTTATTGCTTGCAGTAGAGTGAAAATGGAACTCAAAAAGGATATTGATGTTAAAGATTGGGTTAATGGTTATGATATTGTTAATGGAGTGACAAGGTTTGGCATTTGAAATTAGTAAGGTCAATATGAAAGAAAAGGTATTCAGACATAAAGGTGCCACATTTAATTGTGACTAAATCAGGCAACAAGGTGTCATGAATGATTTATATTACCATCTTATTCCTAGTGCCTCTTTAAATTTACTGAACTAAAACTAAAAACAGCGCGAATTATGCAGATCATATATCAATTGTAGAATTGAATAAAGGGAAAGTTAACACATGTCAGTCATTTGAACATGATCGGGATTGTAGTTGCCAATGATGAAAGATTATTATTATCATCGACACTCGACACTTGGCAACGCAACGATTAAACAAATTTTTTTAGTCCAAAGACATATGCAAGTTTTACTCTATATATTAATAATGGATATTGTCAAATCTATTTAATTTCATTTATTGTAAGCTGATGGAATCGGCTATAATCAAAGCCGAAGGAAAAGAAGAAGTAAAAAAGGGGTGATACAAAAAAAAAGAGGAAAAGAAAGTCTATAAGTTTGGTTCCGGATCTTTGAGAATTTTTGGGGAGAAAAATGTTCTTTTGGAGGAGTATGTTTTCCTTGCATGACTAATGAGAAATTAGTTGGATTGCATAATTGTTCAGTTTTTATGGTTGATTTTGATAGAGTTTACACACTGGAAATCGCAACCTAATTGGATGATACACAAATACTTTCCAATAAATACAGTTTAATATATTATTATTTACTGACTATATACCTTTCGAAGGTTAATAATATTCATGAGCACAACACCACTCCTCTTTACATTATTTAATATCCTCCTTGATAGTAACCACCGCCTTGATTATTTCCTCCTTGTCGGCTTGGTTCTCCAAATCCGACATCTTGAAATTGCCCCTCTTGTTGATAAGCATATTGCTGTTGTTGTGGTTGCTGTTGCTGCTGTTGCTGCTGCTGTTGATATGCTGGGCCTGCAGCATAGTCATAATATGCCGGCTGAGGGCTAGGATCTTGAGATCGAATAGATGATGAATCAAACTCTTCGAAACCGCCGCCCATTAATTGTGCACGGTCGTCATCTCCTGACATATCCGTATGTACATAATGTGATGGAGCAACCTGTTGTTGTTTTTGTTGACGTTCTTGGCGCTTAATACGACGAATTCTTGATTTTTCCCAGTCTTCCCATCTCTTGAGCGGGACTTTGCTCGCATCGAATTGTCCTTCACGTTTACCATGATCATCACCTTTGGCTTCACCTTCAACTTTTCTGGTTTCACCCCATGAAAAGTCGTCGAAATGCCAATAAGCATATGTAGGTAGAATAAAGTTCCATACAGGCAAAGCCAATAGATACACAGACATCCATGAAATATATACGAGTTTTCGTGTTGTAAGAAGAATGAGAATAGCCGGAAGACCAAGTACCATTGCCAACATAAGCAGAGGAATTGCAGACGCAAAGTCCTTTGGCGGATGTAAGATCATGCTGATAATCAACGAATACGTCAACATAATAGCGACTGGAAGTACGACCGTACCGATCAGCTCCATAAATACGACAAACTGCATAGAGAAGCAGAAAGTACCACAAAGATTTCGGACAAGCACCAATTCCATGAGATTGTGAATAGTAGAGTTGATCCATCGACGACGTTGTGAGAGCAAGACTTTGAATTCATCCGGCACAATAGTTTTACAGATAGCTTGTGGACAGAACATCATCTTACGGTAAGGGAAGTTTCTCAACATTAGTGTGGTCAGGAAACGATCTTCACCGAGAAGTAACAAGTTCTTCTGATGGAGAGTCTCGACAATGTTTTGAGAGTATTCTTGGACAATTTCAGGTTTTGTAATAATGGGAACCCAGTCGTCATCACCCTTACGAGCTTTGAGTCTATACATACAGAAACAACCGGGGAGACAGGTAACACCACCGAATACTGATTCGAAACCTTTTCCAAGATGATGAGATATGTAATATTCAAAGACTTGAATAGCGGTAACCCATGAATCGCGTTTGTTGGCAATCTTTGTTTCACCACAGAGACCCATGATCAAGGGATCATTACACATACAGTTAATGAGTAGTCGGAGGGAGTTTTCGTATACTTTAGTGTCTGCGTCAACCTGTGGAGCGAGAAACGAGAATGACATTGTGAGGATAAATTTATAGAGAAACAAGCAACAATGCACAGCAACGACAGCAACGACAGCAACATAATAATGCCAACTATTGCATCACACATATTCTTACCATTAATACAATCTCAAAAAAGTCTGGAGTAACGCCCATAAGACGGTGACATTTTGTGAAAAGATCATAATCCAATTCCGACATCCGATCGTTGTACGTAACACGGCTGAAAAAGTTCATCAAGATCAATTGAGAGTCACGCTTGCCACGATTTCCTGGTTTCGGTTTTCCTTCTTCGTCTGGATTACCACATTTTACAACCGTAACCATGGGCACCATACGACCCTTGTAGGGGAAATGTCCGGCAAATACTTTGGCTCTGTTATGTTGTTTGTTACCGGCAGCGACAGCAATGTAACTCTTTGGCTGTGGGTTTTCAAATTCCGGAAGAAGTTTCATAAGACTGACACAAATATCAGGGGTGCTCTGACTATTACCACTACCGGTGATAACACCGTCACAGATAAGGAAAAGCAGTTTGCGATCGTCTGGATAGTCGGTAGCAGCCATAGACTCACAAGTGACGCGTAAACCTTCTTCGCCTTCAGAATAGCAAGTAACGAGCAACACGGTATACAAATCCTTGCCTACAGTGTCCATGGTGATCGTTTTGGCGACAGTACCAGAATCATTGCGGTGAATCCATGGAGCAGCGCCTCCGCTTCGCGCACCTCCGGGTAGCACTTGAGGAGATATTACTTGCTTGCCTGATGTTTTTGGCTCCCTGGCGAGACGATGTGAAATGAACCAGTCGAATATCACAGCCATGATGAAACGGGTCATGACTATACTGAGAATAACGGTCAATGATACGTATAAGAAAAGCTGAGATGTGAAGCATCCAATTGTCGCCTTGTCAATATGGCCGGCATAGTATTTAGAGACCAAGCAGTTGACTGTAGATTTAAGATTTTCACGCCCAAAGAAGAGACGAGTGGCATCCTTTCCACCTTCAGGATGATCGGTTCCCAATACAGTTCGAATGGCAGCGTCTAAATCGTCGCCTTGGATAGGGTTAGGGTTGGCAGTTACGTATTGATCCAGGTTAAGCACATTACCATCAATTACAAGGTAGTTTTTCAGATCCGCTAGTTGTTTCCAGTCGTAACCGACTCTTTTCGTGGTGTTTACTAGTCCAAGACCTGCTATCACTTCAGTCGTAAAATCGCCATCCGAACATGGGTTTGGGATAGATGGTGTCTTTACGCAGAATTCCTGCTTGATAGCTGCGAAATTTTGGATCTCTGGTTTATTACATGCCGGTATTTCAGCCACGGTACGACGAAAAAAACCAGTAACATCTTGTCCGGGCTGAACTGCGCCAAAGCTTCCTTTCATGTTAGTGGCGTTGAACTGCCATCCCCAAATGCCTACTAAACCTGTGAGACGAATAGAGTCAAAACGGGAGCGAGTGATAGTCAGTATGATACAGATGATGATGTAATATGTGTCAGAGTCATATAGCTAGCGATACGACATCACATCAACAAATCATACAAATCAAATATAATCCGTTGACTATTCTATAGTGGAAAAGGGAAGAGAATAGACAATTGATCTCACCTCCATTTGCAGGATCAGCAAATCTTAAAAATTGTTCTGGATTGTTGGCTTGAGACTGTGGACACAGGACTAGAGTAAAGCCTACAGTTAAAAAGGCTACTATACCACCCATCACGAGGGCAATGAAACATAATGCTATCTTTTCACGCCATGCTTGCTGTGATTGTTTATCGCCTAAACCAACAGATGATAGTAGTGTGCCAGGAGCCCAGAAGGTTATTATTCGGGAAAATAGTACCCACGGATCCCATGCGGTAGATTCTTTTTTGCCCGTTAATAAGGGTACTGCCGGCTGAAAACGTTCAGGTCTGTTGAGGGTTTTGCCACGACGAAGGTTGCCTTGAGCTTGAGCTTGAGGGGCATAGCCAGGATCCATCGTGTTTTTACTACGTAGTTGTTTAAAGGCCGAGTGTCAAGTATTTATATTGTAGTCTAATTTGATTTATTTATTTATTATAGTATGAAAGATGAGAGAAGCTAGGGGTGGAAGGGGGAGGGGGGGAGGAAAGGGGACTTGGTTAGGTTGATAGATATATTATTCGCGAAGCCTTTGTAAATTTGGTAAGGGGATATTACGGACTTTTATTACAAGGGAAGGACAAAAGTTAAAGAAAAAGAGGGAATATAAGCCGCTTGTGAACCCTTTAAAAAAGGTTGCGCTTAGCAGGCGGTGGATAAAGGGAGAAGAGAGTTGGAAACAATTTTGAATCCGCCCCTATCCCGTATAATGATTCCTTTTGTTTGGGAACGTGGCACAATGTTATAACTCTGTCCTATAAACCCGTTTTGAATAATTAATCATCTGTTACTAATGCAGGACGATCTGCAACCACAAATCACTGCTCGCTAAGCAAAATGCTAAACAAATAGAAACATGAAAGACGATCAGGGGGAACACAAAATGGGTAATGAGCGAGGCTTAGATATCTAAGCCTATACTGTATTTGCCACAAGCAAACTCATGGGGTGTGGGTATATTATATGTGTGGTATGTGGTATGTGGTATGTGGTATGTGTATGGTATGTGTGTGGTTGAGTGTGTGGTTGAGTGTGTGGTTGAGCATGTGGTTGAGCTTCTGGTGCGAGTAGTAGTACATAGACATAGTTCAGCCAAGAAAAATTAGCAGCCATATTTCGGGTATGCAAAAGCCACAACCGATTTTCAAAAATCGAAGCCACGCAAAGGTTAAACAATACACGTGCGTTACACCACTTGTAGTATCCAATTATACATCAACTCCGATAACCTATAACAATGCATTCGTCAGAATTAGGTTAATCGTTAAAGCCCTCTCGTGGGTATTGAATTGCTAAATATCGCCTAATTCCATGCGATTGAAAATGGATAATCAAATTCAGTTTGTGTAGTTTTGTTGTTGAACAAGTTGTCAAATTCTCTCCTCACGTCGTTTTGGAAAAATCAAAGCAAGATGGAACGATGATCAACTATGTATGGATATTCTTCCTTTTTATTAACCATAATAATAACAAGGAAACATGCGTTTAAAAATAGAAATGACATTTTTGATCCCAGCAGTAAAACAAACACATGCTCAGCAGTTAGCAGTTCTTCTTGCACCTAATTAGTCGCTCCTCATGCTTGCTTCTTTGATTATGCCTGGTCGATAACCAATCACCAAATACTGATATGCAGATACTAACTCTATTTAGCCAACCGATCGAGGAGGATTATAAATCTGTGTCTCATGCACCAATTTAAAATTAACGAGACAAAAATAGGACATAGCGATAGTGGACTGAATACCCAAAGTGCTTTCAGGGGGTTCAACATTCTGACGATCCTGCTTTCCGGATCAGATGTTTTTTTGTCCGAAATCACCTGTTGGCGGAGAAAATAATAACATCTGAAAGAACGCTAGGACGAAGATGGTACAAATGTCAAGTCTAACGGTGTTGTACTCAGCCTCACAGTGGATGTTAATCACGATAAAATTTTTTTAATCATATTATTCTCACTGAACATAAAATTTCCAGTTTTGAATAAATAGTATGATCATCATGCTCTTTTGCAAGAATCGGTTTTCTCTCCACAGCAAGTCAATTAAAGTTAGACTAATTATAAGAGTAGCTCCGAGAATGGTAAAGTTGGTGTAACATCTGTATATGATGACAATCAATCTTATCTTGTTTGTTTGTTTCCATCAACCATTCCTACTGACAATTACAGCAACTATTAAATGGCAACAAAATATTAAGGGTGTCATCATTGATCCGCGCAATGTTCTTATTTGATTAGTATCAGTAAGCTGACTAACGGCTGAAATTAGTAAAGTCTATTCAGTTGGGGCTTGGACGGGGCGGGCCTGGATCTGTTCCGATAAGGAAAAGCCTCATCATCCGGATCCAAATTGAGGATAACCTTGATATTTTGACATCATCGATTCTTTGAATCCAAGCAGCCATTGAAAACATTTCCTGTAAAATCAAACATCAGCATTAGTTGGTAGCATTAATATTAATGCTTTCTTTTCTTCAATCCAACCGAGTGTATCATTAAGAACGTTCCCTATAATTGTCACAATTGGCGTACTGCTTCACGTAAATTAAAGGTAATTAATCTTACATGTATCATAGTACCTCTTCGCTATATATAATAGTGTAAGTCGCAAGCGCAAACTTTTAGTCTAATGGTTAAACATGTTTGCTATGTTGCAATCTGCCATCAGGCAAGTGCGTACGGCAACTGCTATTTATGTTTGAGTATAACATGATAATTAATATGATGGCAAACATAGAAAACGCAACATGTGGCTTTGCTTTAGTATCGTATTAGCTATAATTGTACATAGTGAAACTCGATAAGTCGGACACGGTGGGCTGTCCGACTTCCGACTTATCGAAATGATTTTAATATGAAAAAAAAAAAAGAAAAGTGCACAAGATTTGTCCGACTTATCGAGTGTCTGACTTATCGAGTGTCTGACTTGTCGAGTTTCACTATGTATTTGAATTATGATGAACAATAGATCTTTCTATAAATACAAAAATTGATTCGATTCGATTTTAGTAAAAAAGATGTCGCTTGATTGCAAGATATCGCATACGAGAACGCCCCTTAATAATTAATGCGTGGTAATAGCGCGGGTTTGGATAGAATGTACAGTATTTGACCAGAACATTTTCATAAAAAGTGAGATAATGAATAATGTTTTTACCCGGCAACGGTAGCTAACAGTAAACATGCGCGATTCCGTTTCAGAATCATATGAGAAAGTCTATAGTAAACTCGTAGAAACTATAAATAGACTGTGAATTACAAGTTTACTCAAAAAAGAGAAAATGGGCGGCGTTAACATTATAAAAAAGCATTATCGTCATTTTCTTATCTAGTGTTTGCTTTAAATAACAGTTGTCAAATGGATTTGAATTGAATAAATTTTTTATGTTGGTGATTGTAAGAAATCCCATTCAAATCCTTAAGTACTCACGTTTACTTTCCAAGGACAAATTGTCAATTACTGTATTATTTATTAACAGACTCTGATGCTACGCATAACAGACAACATTTTTGTATTGTATCACAAAGTCTTTGTTAAAATTATACTGCCGATACAAGATGTTTACGTTGCCAGTGCAGTCTGAAAATAGGATGACCGGAACGCCAAGACGAGACAAATAGTGATATTACATAATGGTCTGATTCGTTGAATTAATTCTCAGTTTGTTATTCATTGTAGAAGCGCTCTTTACTAATTATCATTTAAGTTAATATACAAACTGCTTAGGCCAAACTATTGGGCTTTCCATGTTATGATGAAACGCGATTAACCACAAACTCTCATCTATAAGGGCCCGTAATGCTAAAACATAACTAAACCCCCCACCCCTTCATTACCCACTTGATTATCGACATTATATATTATTACTTAGTATTGTCGCAATTTAGTAAACAAAGATAGCGCAAACAATTGCTACGATATCTCATGAATAAGACACCCAATGATTAAGGTAAGCCCTTACCGTTTTTTCATTAGCGATTACGGTATTTTTATACGTTGTCCATGTCAATTAGTTGCAAACAGCATAATAATGAAATCTGTAGTCCAGAACATTAATGAACTAAACAATTTTTTAAATAATTAATATAAAGCCTTCAATATTATTGTTTAAAAAAGACCGGTCATCCGTAATTGTTATTCAATACTGATAGTACGACTTGTGGTTTGAAAACTTTGTGTTCGAATTTCAGGTCGGCGAAATAGAATACCTTTGCCACGTTATACTAGTAAATGGACGGTAATGTTACGACCCCATTCATGGTTTCAAGATTATAATATATTCTAACGTTGTCACATAAATTATGTAGTTCATTGGTTATTCGATGTGACAATCTCGGGCAAAATCCTAGGTAAGAACATTAATTAATATTAATTTCATACAACTACACCAATACAGTATGCTTGCACTATAAGATTTGTTAAAAGAAATATCACTGGAAAAAAGGTTGTCACTTTTAAATGTGAAAACATACCTTGCCAAGGTTTCTTAAAGAAGAAACAAGCTACGCATATAAAATCTATACGTCCGAAAGTTCTACTATAAGTGTATAGTAATAATTTTTTTCATTACGAGATTGCTTGTAAGCTTTTCTTATGAGTCAATATTTTTCCATTATTTTTGATAGAACAGTTTTTGAACCACACGTCTGTATATAGACTTTATAACTTGCTTTGTTCAATTTTTAACTTTTGTGCTTAATATTACGGTAATCAGGATTTATAGTAAATAGATATGATATTAATACAGTATGTACACCAGCACATAATAATAAAGGTATAATAAATACAACCTCCTGTTCACACCAAATCTTGTTTACGCGATTCTGGATCAACGTTATTTCTAATAAGTAAATTCTTGTATTGTGAGTGACTATTAACTAAGCTGCTCGAACAGCTTTAATTGTTAATTGCGAGCTCCTTGCTGATTGATGGAATAGACTTGGCTTATGACAATTTTTATCAATTACGCATTTGAATATTGTATGGCGTTATAGTTTTCGAAGTCAAATTTCGTAGGAAAATTATAACCATAAAACACATAAAGGTCTTTTATATCGCTTTGATATTTGTCAAGACGAATTCATGACTGCCGAAATAAATTTGATAATAGTACCGAAACGATATAGTTATACATTAATTTGTTTGTCTATAACAAATCATTGATATCTCAACTGACATTGTCGCGTTATCATACAATTTAATATTAACTCTTCATGGTATAGCTTGCCCACACAACAGTTAGTTCGTGGTCAAGTCCTCTTTAACAATTCACACGTGCAATAATAATAGGTTAAGATCTGTGATATTAAGTGAATACATATAATATGTGATAATCAAATCGTACAATAATCGCTTT